TTTGATGGTTTCCTTTCTTACATTTAGGTCTTTCATCCATTTTGAATTTATTTTTGTGTATGGTGTAAGAAAGTGGTCCAATTTCATTCTTCTGCATGTTGCTGCCCAGTTTTCCCAAAACCATTTGTTGAAGAGACAATCTTTTTTCCATTAGATATTCTTTCCTACTTTGTCAAAGATTAGTTGACCATAGAGTTGTGGGTCTATTTCTGAGTTGTGGATCTATTTCTGAGTTGTCTATTCTGTTCCTTTGATCTATGTGTCTGTTTTTGTCTGGCAGCATACTGTCTTGATGATTACAGCTTTGTCATACAGCTTGAAGTCCAGAATTGTAATGCCTCCGGCTTTGGTTTTCTTTTTCAACATTACTTTGGCTATTCAGGGTCTTTTCTGGTTCCACACAAATTTTAGAATTGTTTGTTCCAGCTTTGTGAAAAATACTGCTGTTATTTTGATAGGTATTGCATTGAATTTGTAGATTGCTTTGGGTAGTGCAGACATTTTAACAATGTTTTTTTTTTTAAAGATTTTATTTATTTATTTGACAGAGAGACACAGCCAGAGAGGGAACACAAGCAGGGGGAGTGCGAGAGGGAGAAGCAGGCTTCCCGTGGAGCAGGGAGCCCGATGTGGGACTCGATCCCAGGACCCTGGGATCATGACCTGAGCCAAAGGCAGATGCTTAACGACTGAGCCACCCAGGTGCCCAACAATGTTTGTTCTTCTTGTTATGAGCATGAAATGTTTTTCCATTTCTTTGTGTCTTCCTCAATTACTTTCATAAGTGTTCTATAGTTTTCATCATACAGGTCTTTTACCTCTTTTGTTAGGTTTATTCCTAGGTATCTTACCTATTCTTTTCCTATTGTCTCAGGGGTCTCAAGGCCACCTTCAAGTATGCTAATTTAACAGAAGGATTCACAAGACTCACAACAGGTTTTACTCATGGCTAACATTTTTTACAAAGAAGTATATAGAGCAAGAGCAACAGGAACAAGATATCCATTGGGTGGAGTCCAGAGTGATTAGACACAAGTTTCCACATATTTTCCTACCTGGAGTCACACAGGATATACTTTTTTTTTTGCACACAAAGTTATGATCTGCAACTAGCTATGGTAAGCAAAACTCATGACCCCAACAATGAAATCATGTGCCCATCATCAGTCTTTTTTTTTTTTTTTTTAGATTTTATTTGACAGAGAGAGACACAGCGAGAGAGGAAACACAAGCAGGGGGAGTGGGAGAGGGAGAAGCAGGCTTCCCGCTGAGCAGGGAGCCCAATGCGGGGCTCGATCCCTGGACCCTAGGATCATGACCTGAGACAAAGGCAGGGGCTTAATGACTGAGCCAGCCAGGCGCCCCGCCCATAATCAGTCTTGATGTTTGTGAAAAGCAATTCTCACAAGACAGTATAACATGGTCCTTTGCTCCAGGTGTATACAATAAAATCTTCAATTGTTAACAGAAAGAACCATCAAATACAACATTCCCAGAGGTTGTACCATGATTAGATGGGTCCAAGCTCTCTTGGAGATATGTGAGGAGCGAGCAATAAGACCTGCTGTGTTAACTGTTTTCTCACACCCATTTTATTATTGGGTTGTTAGTTTGCTTATTATTGAATTTTAGGAGTTCTTAACATATTCTGTATACAATCCTTTATCAAATATATGGTTTATAAAGATTTTTTCCAGTTTTTGGTTTGTCCTTTTATTCTAACAGTGTCTTTTGAATAGTAGAAATTTTTAATATTGATCAAGTCCAATTTATCAATTTGTTATGTATTGTGTTTTGGGCATCATTTCTAAGAAATCTTTGCAAAACCCAAGATTTTAAATATTTTTTTCCTGTTTCCTTTTAGCATTTTTATAGTTTCAGGTTTTTACATTTTAGGTCTATGATTCATTCTGCATTAATTTTTGTATATGGTTTGACCTGGAGTATTTTAAAGCAAATCTTTGACATCAGATCTTTTCACCCATAAATATTTGGTATGTTATCTCTAGCAGATGAGGAAAGTTACAAAAACATAATCCCAATACCTTTATCATAATTACTTACTAGCATATGGCACTCAGTCTGTGTTCAAATTTCCCCTAAATATATTTTTGTTTGTTTAAGATCCATACAAAATAGGCATATTGCATTATGTTGTCATGTTTCTTAAATTTCCAGTAATCTGTAACAGTCCCCTTATCCAATTTTCCTATGTCGTTTTTTTCTAATAATAATCTAGGTCACTTGTGCCAAGAAATTTCCACATTCTGGATTTGGCTGGTTGTATCTTGGTGATGTTTTTAACATATTGCTCTGCCATTTCTTGATTTATTAATTTTTGGCATTATATATTATTAGACATCATATATTTACTCTGTGCTGTGAAAGATGAGGATCTGGTAACATAACTACTCTCTACTTACCTCTCTCTAATTATCCCTTTAACATCTTTAACAATGAAATAAACATAGAAGATTTTTGAAGAATTAATATGTATGACTATTTGCCTTTTCCCAAATAATATCTTCATTTAGCCTTGGCTGTACCATAAACTACCAAATACTATAATAAACTAGCTTTTGTCCAGTGCAATAACAGTAGGGGAGTGGAGAATAGAGATTTGAGAAATATCTCGGAAGAGGATCTGACAGTACTGAATGAAGGAAGAAGGGAAGGGCTATAGAATTCCTGTTCAGTTTGTGGCTTCAACTGAGTACATGGTGGTGCCACTTAGAATAGAAGAGGATGAATAGGTTTGAGGAAGGGACTGGGGACCCAGGAAGAAAATAAATTCAGTTTTTGACATTGAGACATGGGGTACTTTAAATAATCAAGCAGAGACGTGCAATAGACCACTGGAATTATGGATCTGGAGACTAGGAGAGAGATGTGGGTTTGAAGTAGAGATTTGAAAGTCATCAGTTTTATGGGTGATAGTTGAAGCCATGGCATGGATAATATTGCCCAGGGAATGTGTAAAGAGTAAGGAAAGAGGAAGATAAAAAACAAAACCCTAAGGAACACCAAGATTTAAGGAGACAGAAATAGTTGTTACAGTATGTGATGAGTACCATAATAAAAACATGTATGAGATACCCTCGTGACTCAAAGTAAGATTGATCAACTGGGTGGGGAAAAGTTATCGTAAAAAGTTTTACTTTGGTTTAGATACTGAAGAATATATCAATGTGTGCCAATGGGATGAGGGGCAGGAAAACAGACACACTCATCTACTCCTCAAGGAAAACAGAGGACTTTAAATGAGAAGTCTTTCAACTATTCTCCACCCTGACACACTCATGTCTAAAGCAGTGTTCCTCAAAGTGTGGTAAACAATTCACTTGGAAAAGAATCACACAGGGGCTTTGTAAAAATATATATTATTAGGTTCCACCTTAGACCTACTGAATCAGAATCATTGGGGAGGGAGACACTGAGGAATCTGCACTTTAAACAACTTCTCTAAGTGATTCTGAAGCAGATGACTTGTATACAACATTTTCTACAAACTATGGTGTAACCATGGGAACTTTCAGCTAAAGTAGAATGGATGAGGTCAAAGAATTATGATCTTCAAGTTGCTACTCTCTTCTTGCTAGTTTTAGCAGGAAGGCCTAGTGGGAAAATGGGGAACACAGAGGTTTTGTAAGAGTATAATTGACTCAATCTGTTTTTCTATATTTAGAAGGAAAAATGAACCAGATAAGACTAAGAGCGGTTTTCCTTTGAGCTGGTCCCAAGTCAACCAGGAAGAACATACAGGCACCTTGATGAAAAAGAAATCAACAATTGATTTTGCTGATTGAATGTAGTCATTAAAACAACAACACCCATGAATTCCCCTAATTTTGTTTTCACTTTTTAGCTGGTTACTTGGCATTTTATACTCAGCTCCTCTTAGTGAATTCATCTTACCTGAAGTCACTAAATGTTTAGCTTTTCATTTAATCAATAATTCCAGGGATAAAAATTTCCATGTTTCCCATAATTTTTATCCTAAAAAGAGGAAATCTCAATTAAGTCATTGTCTATTGTTCAGTCAGGAAATGTTTCTATGTCTTCATAAAAAAGATAACTATATGTTTGGGAATATATTATTTGAAGTACACAGTGAGATGGATTACTCTTGAGAATTCATTTGTGCCTTTAGGGAATCCCAGGGATGTACTCTCAAACTCTGATAGCCTATGAATATTCTACTATGGCTAGAAATACTATTCTTCTGAGAAACTGGCAAATGGATTTTGTTACTTTTTCATAGCAGCTATCTACATGGCTCTCCAGAATTGGGTATATCTAGCTAGAAATACACTAACTTCAAAAGATTGTAACATATTACTTTGTTTTGAGAAAAGCTGTGAATATTTCTATTCATTCTTTGAAATATTTCTAGAAAAAAATCAGATCATAAAACCAATTGCTTCCTTTGAAAAGACCCTGTGATAAAATTAAGTCAATTCTGATTCCAAAATTAAACATGAAGAATGGTAAGATTTCATAAGAGAACAGCTCTTCTCTTTGTATATCTACCAATTCTATTTATCATTCATAACTTTCTAAGATACATTTCCTGACTCACATATTATGTTAGTAAGTTTGTAACATATGAGAAACAAATAATAGTTTTATCTAGTTCATTTAGTGATGTGTGTGATATGATAAATGTGATATCTATTTGATAGTCACACAGATGTCAGAAGATGCTTTAGAAAGTATAGGATGTGATGGGGGAATAAACTGTCACTTATAGTATGATTCCACCCAAGAGCTGAGGAATTATGTTATAAAAAAAAAAAAAAAAAGAACCATGAGACCTAGAGAGAGGAGAGACAGAATATGGAATTGTCAGTGTGCATGCACATAGTTGTAAAGGAAATACACTAGAGAAAAAAATACTGGTCCACAGTAAAGTTATATTTTCTGTACAAAAGAGCCACTAATATAGTGTATATAAATATTCCCATAGGACTATGAGATCCTTTTTAAAATTCCATACTTACCAAAACAATCTTTTAGTTATTGTATTAGTTGCTAGGGCTGTCATAACAAAGCACCACAGACTGGGTGGCTTCAATGGAAATTTATTTTCTTGCAATTCTGGAGGTTGGAAGTCTCAGACTAAAGTATTGGCAGGGTCGGTTTCTTCTCAGGCCTCTCTCCTCAGCTTGCAGATGGCTATCTTTTCCCTGTATTGTCACATGGTCTTCCTCTGTGTGTCTCTGTCCTAAAGTTTTCTTATAAGAACATGATTCATATTGGATTAAAGCATACCCTATTGACCTCATTTTAGCTTAATTACCTCTTTAAAGACTCTATCATCAAATAAAGTCATATTCTGAGATACTAGGGACTTCAACATATAAATTTTATGAGGACACAGTTCAGCACACAACATTATTTTAGGTTACCACATAAATTAATACAAAGAAAGGATCCACATAGATTTAAAACTCCTTTTTGGCAAAATCTTGCTGACTGTGAGGCAAGTACAATAACATGTGTTGAATATTACTACAGAGGAAATGCAATATTGAAGGAGCTAGACTTATGGTGACCCAATCATGGTAAAAGAAAATATTAAGCCCCAGAATACTGCCTAATTAATACTACTGCATAAGGTACTGGAGCTTATTATTTTTAAGAATTAATTTATTCATCTATTTAGTATATTCCCTAAAGTCTTAAAAGTTGATTTAGATTTTTTTTAGAAAACTTTATACAGTGCTGTGTTTTTATTTGTAGAAAAAATCAGCTCAAATATGTTCATTTTTTGTATTAATATGATGGTCAAGACTTTGCAGAATGTGTTATCCAAATTTTTTTTTTTAAGATTTTATTTATTTATTTGAGAGAGAGAATGAGAGAGAGCACATGAGAGGGAGGAGGGTCAGAGGGAGAAGCAGACTCCCTGCTGAGCAGGGAGCTGGATGCGGGACTCGATCCCAGGACTCCAGGATCATGACCTGAGCCAAAGGCAGTCGCTTAACCAACTGAGCCACCCAGGCGCCCATGTGTTATCCAAATTAAAAACCAGTCCTGATAGGCTTTTACAAGCTAAGCCTTCACTGAACTCAAGGCTACATATAAGAACTCTGAAATCCAAGGACAATTTTAAAAAAGGATACCTGAATTGTTTGCCAAAACTAGAATAATCCCTAATGATATATAAGAACCAGGGTACAAAAGCAGTGAGATAATCCATCTCATTATCAAGTACTTTATCACTTAGCAGATATCTAGCTTATAAAAGTTATCCTACAAATCTCTGCATATACTAGTGAATCTTCATTAGAGGTCTCTTTTTAGTCTTTGAAGATGCTATTAGAAGTAGAAGAAGATCTTTGGTCAGCAAACACCACAAAGAAAAGGTTAGAGAATCCTCTTTTGAGTTGTATATTTAAAATGATATGAGTGATTGGAGGAAGGAAAGATGGCGGAAGAGTAGGGGACCCTATTTCAACTGGTCCCCGGAATTGAGCTGGATATCTACCAGGCCACTCTGAGCACCCAGGAAACCAGCCTGAGATGTAAGAAGATCTGGATCTCTACAAGCAGAATATCGCAGGCGGTTGGTTTTGAGGTACGAAGTGGGGAGCCCTGATTCTGCGGGCAGATGTCAGAGGATAAACAGCAGCGGGAGGGAGCCTGTCCGTGGGGATCCTACACCGCCGGTGAGTGACAGCCTCGCGCGCTGGGGACGGGGCACAGACTCGCAGACCGGTAGCTGCGGGGAAAGGACTTTAGGGCAGCCCCTGGGATGGAAACCCAGAGCGGCGGGGTCAGGCATGTGAAATGGGTGCGGCTGGCGGTTTTAGAGGCACAAAGGGCAGAGACCTGCTCCGACCTGGAGGCAGGACTGGGGGCACTGCGGAGGGGTGCACAACCAAGGACGCTGAAGTTTATAGCAGCACGGACAGAAACAGAGAGTGTGGCCTGGAGAGCTCACTGAAGAACAGACTGCGGTCTCTTTGCTCTGAGGCAGAGGGTTGGAAACGGTCTCTTCTGCTCTGACTCGCGGAAGAGTCGTGGAAAGCCGCCAGGGAAAGCCGCCAGAGAACAAAAGCCCCCAAAACTGATTCCCACTGAGCTCATCCCCCGCCACAGGGAGGCAGGGCAACTCTGCCCAAACAGGGTTGCCTGAGTAACAGCGCGGCAGGCCCCTCCCACAGAAGACAGGCTGGGAAAACAAGAGGCCAGCAACCCTAAGGTCCCAAGAAAACAGGTGCATCTTGCTTGGGTTCTGGTCAATAATTTGGACTCTATACATTCCCTCAAACACCCATCAACAGAATGACTAGGAGGAGGAACCCCCAAAATAGAAAAGACTCAGAGATTATGACTTATGCCGCAGATTTACAAATGGATGCAGATATAATCAAGACGTCAGAGACGGAATTCAGGCTAGCAATTGTGAAGACAATGGCTAGAATGGAGAAATCAATTAATGGCAACATAGAGTCTCTAAGGGCAGAAATGAAAGCTGAATTGGCAGAACTTAAAAATGCTATCAATGAGATCCAATCCAATCAAGATAATCTAACAGCTAGGGTAACTGAGGCAGAAGAACGAATAAGCAACCTGGTAGACAATATAATAGTTAAAAAGGGAAAAGAGGAGGCCAGGGAAAAACAACTCAGAATCCATGAAAATAGAATCAGAGAAATAAGTGACACCATGAAGCGTTCCAGTGTCAGAATAATCGGAATCCCAGAGGGAGTGGAGAGAGAGAGAGGATTAGAAGATGTATTTGAGCAAATCATAGCTGAGAACTTCCCTAATCTGGGGAATGAAACAAACATTCGCGTCCTAGAGGCAGAGAGGACCCCTCCCAAGATCAAGGAAAACAGGCCAACACCCCGGCATGTAATAGTAAAACTCGCAAATCTTAGAAGCAAGGAAACCATCTTAAGGGCAGTTAGGGGGAAGAGATTCCTTACGTACAGAGGGAGGAACATCAGAATAACGTCAGACGTATCCACAGAGACCTGGTAAGCCAGAAAGGCCTGGCAAGACATATTCAGGGTACTAAATGAGAAGAACATGCAGCCAAGAATACTTTACCCGGCAAGGCTTTCATTTAGAATGGATGGAGAGATGCAGAGCTTCCACGACTGGCAGAAGCTGAAAGAATATGTGACCACTAAGCCGGCCCTGCAAGAAATATTAAGGGGGCGTTCTATAAAAGGAGAAAGACCCCAAGAGTGATATACAACAGAAATTTATTGGGACAGTATATAAAAACAACATCTTCACAGGCAACATGATGACAATTAATTCATATCTTTCAATAATCACTCTCAACGTGAATGGCCTAAACGCTCCCATAAAATGACACAGGGTTGCAGACTGGATAAAAAGACAGGACCCATCCATATGCTGCCTAAAAGAGACTCATTTTGAACCTAAAGTTACATCCAGACTGAATGTGAAGGGATGGAGAGCCATCTTCCATGCCAGTGGACCTCAAAAGAAAGCTGGGGTAGCAATTCTGAGACAAATTAGATTTTAAACTAAAGTCTGTATTTAGAGACACAGAAGGACACTATATCATTCTTAAAGGGTCTATCCAACAAGAAGATCTAACAATTGTAAATATCTATGCCCCCAACATGGGATCAGCCATCTACATAAGCCAACGGTTAACCAAAATAAAGAGTTATATTGATAACAATACGTTAATTGTAGGAGACACCGGGGTGCCTGGGTGGCTCAGTTGTTAAGCGTTTGCCTTCGGCTCAGGTCATGGCCCCAGGGTCCTGGGATCGAGCCCCGCATCGGGCTCCCTGCTCAGCGGGAAGCCTGCTTCTCCCTTCTCCACTCCCCCTGCTTGTGTTCCCTCTCTTGCTGTCTCTATCTGTCAGATAAATAAATAAAATCTTAAAAAAAAAATTGTAGCAGACCTCAATACTCCACTCTCAGCAATGGACAGATCATCTAAGCAGAAAATCAACAAGGAAACAATGATACATTGGACCAGATGGACCTCACAGATATTTATAGAACATTCCACCCTAAAACAACAGAATACTCATTCTTCTGAAGCACACATGGAACTTTCTCCAGAATAGACCACATACTGGGTCACAAATCAGGTCTCAGCTGATACCAAAAGACTGAGATTATTCCCTGCATATTCTCAGACCACAACACTTTAAAACTGGAACTCAATCACAAGAAAAAATTTGGCAGAAATTCAAACACTTGGAAGCTAAAGACCACTCTGCTCAAAAATATTTGGGTCAATCAGGAAATCAAAGAAGAACTTAAACAATTCATGGAAATCAATGAAAACGAAAACACATCGGTCCAAAACCTATGGGACACTGCAAAGGCGGTCCTAAGGGGGAAATACATAGCCATCCAACCCTCACTCAATAAAATAGAATATCCCGAATTCACCAACTAACTCTACACCTTAAAGAACTAGAGAAAAAGGAACAAACGATGCCTAAGCCATGCATTAGAAGAGAAATAATTAAAATTAAAGCAGAGATCAATGAATTAGAAACCAGAAACACAGTAGATCAGATCCACAAAACTAGAAGTGGGTTCTTTGAAAGAATTCATAAGATCAATAAACCACTGGCCAGGCTTATCCAAAAAAAAAAGAGAAAGGACCCAAATTGATAAATGATGAATGAAAGGGGAGAGATCACGACTAACACCAAGGAAATAGAAACAATTATTAGAAATTATTATCAACAACTATATGCCAATAAACTGAGCAATCTGGATGAAATGGGGGCCTTCTTGGAAACCTATAAGCTGCCAAGACTGAAACAGGAAGAAACTAACAACCTGAATAGGCCAATAACCAGTAATGAGATTGAAGCAGTGATCAAAAACCTCCCAAAAAACAAGAGTCCAGGGCCTGACGGATTCCCTGGGGAATTCTACCAAACATTCACAGAAGAAATAATACCTATTCTACTGAAGCTGTTTCAAAAAATAGAAACAGAAGGAAAACTTCCAAACTCATTCTATGAGGCCAGCATTATCTTAATCCCCAAACCAGGCAAAGACCCCATCAAAAAGGAGAATTTCAGACCGATATCCCTGATGAATATGGATTCCAAAATACTCAACAAAATCCTAGCTAATAGGATCTAACAATACATTAAAAGGATCATCCACCACGGCCAAGTGGGATTTATCCCTGGGATGCAAAGGTGGTTCAACATTCGCAAATCAATCAATGTGATAGAACACATTAATAAGAGGAGAGAGAAGAACC